TTCATAATGAGCAGTTAACTTTGAAGCTGTTCTATTGCTACAGATTGAATGATTTTGATTCTTGTTGGTCTGTTTCGCATTTTTCTGTTGTCACGTTTTGACATTTGTCCGTTATTTCGGTGTATATTATACGTTTGAGCTTCTGGGTTGTGTTCTTTATAAGAAGATTACGTTATATCGAGGTTCTGTCCCATACATTTTACTATATCTTTAGCCGAGCCAAAGAGTGTCGTTAGTTATACCGAGGACTTGGTGTAAAAGAGGTTCGTTACATCGAAGTTGTACTGTACCTGAAGCTGCTGAGAGGGACTGCCTCACAAAAGTTTTGGTCGTCGGAATGTCTAAATAAGTACAGACATCCTTTACTGAGGATCATATAACGCCAGGGCCCTAAAACGAAAAACAATGTTTATATGTTTTCTTCGTAGTGGAAGTCGCTATATTAAATAATAGATTCCAAGTTACCTTGCAGCAAATGTAACTACTGTATTACTGGAATTTTTTAATTTGTTCTAGCCTGATATTTTTACTTGAATTGTCGTAGTATTTTTGTCGGCTTACTCTTTTTGATTACTGTCATGCGTCTTATACATGACCCTCTAGCTTTGATACACAGGACTACCTGATCTCACGCATTAACTTGAATAAATAACCTGATTGATTCATTGATTGCGTCTGTTCAGTAATAGATCACCGATGGCGTCAAAATGTGGTAAGAGGAAAAAAGTGGCACATGAAGCGCAACCGAGTGTGTCACTAATTTTCTGACGCATCTTGACGTTTTCTGTGATCTATTAGCGAAGAAACCCACGGAAAAATGAAATCTATCTGTTTTGCATGGTAAAGAAGAAAATTTGTTAATGATTTCATCAGTGCGTCTGTCCTCCATCATAGTTTGTAAGAACCAATCAAAACACGTGCATAATTCAGCTCAATCTTTCAATAAAAAACATGAGCCGATGGAAAACTCTTTTCCTTCAGGCATTTCCTCGCTGTATTTTTATGCCATTATTCATAAGGATGATGGAGTTTCTTCTGACGTTTCTATTCTAGTTTTGAGCCTTTCTCAGGTTATGCTTTCATTTTATTAGTTTGTTTTTCTGTTTGTTTGTACGTTGTTTTTTTCTTTTTTTGCATTTTTGTTCTATTTTTTAAAATGTTTGTGACTTCCAGTACTTACAGTCAAGTGCTTTCACCACCGATCGAATCCCTGTCTCCTCCTTTCTAACCCATCCGAACAACCCGTGGATATTTCTTAGCAACTCTTGCGCTGAAATGTTAGCAAATGGTTCGACAACTAGGGTGGAATGTGTCATGTTTGCTACCAATTGGTCAGGGCTTTTGCCTATAATAAACACAGTTATTTCATATTAGCTATATTAGTTCAAACAGATAAATATTGCAGTATGCAGTAAGCCCGTCAGTTATGAACTTAGTCCATGGTCCAGCTAGTCAATGAGTTACCTGCGGCTCAGTAGGTAGAGCATTCAACCAGGACATCTGATCGAGGTTTGCATCATTCTTCGTTTAATTAAAGATGCTGAATGCTTTCATTTGTTTTTGATCGCTCTCATCATGAAGGTGCAGTACACATAACAGAGCGAGGCTTCAAGGTAAGTTTGCCCTTAAGAGTAAAGTATCTTGCCCAAAAACAAAACACATTGTCTCAGCCAGGTCTCGAACCCGAGCCTCTCGACACGGAGTCCATTACAGTACACTGATCATTAGGCCACTGCGCCTCCCACAATCTTAAGGAATTACAAGATCAATGCGGATCTAGATAGCGTTAATCAGCATCTTTCAAAATGTTATGTAAACTTTTTGAGGATCATTATCATCATCTCGATCCTTATCATTATCTTGATGCTTGAGAACATTTGCTCGAAGATCCTGACAAGAAAATATAAATGAAGATCCCGATAAGATCCTCCAAGAGATTTTTGAGAGATTTCAAGGATCTTGAACTGAAGAATTAGGCAGTAAGTAAGATGAAAATCTCCCAGAGATTCCAAGTACGTTATTGTCAGAACGTTTGGACACTCCCTACTGATCCATCCAGAGCTTTGTCAACACATGTCACTCAATCTGTCACGCGAACTTAGTGCATGAATGAGTTTGAATTCTGGGAAACATCTCTATAGATTCTGGAAACTAGACACGCTGTACACGGCAAATTTTAAAAATTTTGCTCCCAACATATTGTACATCTCTGCAAGGTGTTAGTTTGAAAAGCGCCTAACATTTATCCAACGGCTTCAACCGCCATCGCCGGAGGAAGAAACTGACCAAGTGCGAACGTATTCAAAATGGCGTCGATTCATCATTTAACCAGGAAGTTTGATCGATTTAAACGACTAACAGCCGATAGTGCGCACTCTCTTGAGTAAAAACTGAACAATATTTCCTTGTGTACACATATTACTATGTGCATTCAATATGGCGAAAAAAAGTTCAAAAAGTTTTTGCATTATCAAACGCGCGCCAATCGTTTCGTAATCAGTGGAAGCGTTGCCGTCATAAATTAGCGTATATTGTCTGTCTTAGGCAAAGTCATTATCACTAGGAATAAAAGAAAGCGTCCAAAAGTAACGCGATATCACTCCGCACAATCTTTCCTTCAAAAAACATTTACTCATGACATTAATTAAGGTCACTCGTCAAAGAAGTCTAATCTGGTTGATATCAGTAAACAAAATATGATACGCTCGATTGACTGGAGCTGAAACGGTGTGTGTCAGTCATCCAATAAAGATATTGAAAGACATTGAAAGATACCCGTCATGAAACAATAACACTCCGAAATCTGCTTGCGTTGTGTCTTTGGGAAACTTTCGACATGGTTAGCTTTTAACTCAAAAGATAATGGCAAGTGAAAAGTACGTTCTTTATGTATCAACATACGAAACTTGTACAATCAGCACCTCAAGCATCAACGACATTACGTATTCATTAGTATATTCTTCTTTATCTGTTCTTTTTTTTCCTTTCTCTGGGTTTTGCATTTGGACTGTTAATATTTTCATTTCATACGTCAGGTCATAAAAGTGGCCGCAATATATTGCCAAACATCCAAACCCTATTTTTAGAAAACGTGGCGTGATGACGTAGTGTTCTTCTTCTGTAAACCTTGTCAGTTGTTTTGGTCTCCAGATTTCCAAAGGGAAGCTTGAGTTGTTATCGTCATTTCACAAATCCTCCATCCATTCTCAGTAGTTAAGGTAAACGCGTTACTTCATAACATAGAGCTGGTTGAAGAGGCAGCCGTGCGAGAATTGACTCGGCTGCTTTGATTCTCACGGGGACAAAACAACTACTCTCTCTGCATACGTAATGATATGAAGCCGGAGACTGGAAATTTTCTCTTCAAACAAATCTGCTCTGCTAACTTAAAACAAGTTCAATAAATGGTATGATTTCCAATTAATCTTGTGGTGAAAACGATAGATCCGTTCTTTATTTAATTTTTATCAAGAGATGAAAGCACTCAATGCGGTTGAATGCTAAAACATTTAGAAACAAAGTCAAAGACTCATTATGCACGTGATTATAACGTGATATAAGCAAAATTCAACCACGAAACTTGTCAATTTCTAGTTGGCAAACTCCTTGGACATGGAGAGTTACACTTGATCACTAATTAAATTAGCGGCGGTAAACCTAGCCAAACTTAAAGCTCGGATGTTCACTTTTTGATCTTAACTAGCAAGAGACTGGTAGTGAAATAAGTCGAGGAACATGGCGAACTTGTGACTTACGCACAGGAGCTGATTCATTGTACTAACTGACTTACCACAGCTATTTTTCATTGCGTGGATCCAACAACAAGATTCAAATAGGAAAGCAAAACTTTAATAGACAATGGCCGCTCAAATGATTGCAGATGCACAGCAAATAACTCACGGTAGGCTACAGATCATTAAAATGTGTTTATTTTTCGAGTGCTGCTTAGTTTACTTATCTTATCCACTTTCTGAGAGGAAAAGAAACAAAAACGAGAGAAAACAAATTGCTCAGATCAACAAAAACATGGGTCTAAAAAAGAAGTATTCTCAGATGTATTTAGTTAAGACTGCTTTTTCTGCGAAGTAATTTTAAAGGCGACATGAAAATAAATGAAAGGTAAAGGCAAAGAAAGAAATTGCGAGAATTTAACAACCAAACGGTTGTGCTTTGGTAAGTTTGAGCACATCGGTTTTATTTGTTACCTTGTGCTTGATCACTTCAAAGAACGATCGAGATCCTTCGATAATCTCTGGTAAAATGTTTCATAGGATAAATTAGAGCCACTGGGCATTCTCATTGAAAATCCTGAGATTTAATCTTGATATTTCATTGAATACACGGCGAACTGAAGGTACTGTATAATAGCCATGTACGTGAAATTGGCCTATAATTATTTGGATGAATAAGGATTTTGCTAGTATATCAGTGGTACGAGTTTGGAGTAAAAATTTCAATGCCACTCTTCGAACCAAAAGTTCATCAATTTCCCCAATCGCTCTCTTAGATACTTCAATGCTTCAATCTGGTAAGTCAGAATTTAATACTAGATACTAGTCTCCTGAATACGAGTTATTACAATAATTTTTATCATTATTATGATTATTATTAGTTATTTACATTTTTTAAAACGGAGTGCTTAGAGAGTATGGTACCTGAACAAAGGCTGTTACTGACTTCCGTCTGGTGAGGCAATGTGGACTTTTCTGTTGCACCCCCACAATCTTCAGACTTGTCTATGTGAAGAACATGTGACATTAATTAATGACGTTATTTATTTAATTAGTTATGTAGTGTTTTATAGGTTTGGGGTTTAAGTAGCCGCTGTTACATAATTTGCTAAACGAGCCCATAAAGGTTTGATACATCTCCCGATGCCACGAATCAATATTTCGCATTGCAGTGAGTTACGTTTTTGTGGGAAAATTAACCCTGGCGATGGCTAAGAGTATAAATGGTGAAGAGGAATTTCTAGAGAAAGGAGAAGGATGCCTGAAAGTTAACTAAAAAAATATTCCTGACTATTTTGGCTAAACTAATTGGGAGGCTTGTGACCACGGTGCGACGGAATGCCTATTGGTATAGCATTGGATGATCTTTGCTAAGCTTACTTCCATACCGTTAGGAGTGATGCTGATCATTTTGTCAATGAGAGATTCACACTGTTTTTTCCAACTGTACTTTTTCTGGTAGAAGTCTCGCAGTTTTTCACACTCTTCAAGTCGACTGCTTCTGTCGTTGTTGCAGAATTCCTCAATTGCTTTGGCCCACTGATCTGGATCATCTGAATCAATCACAAAATTCCGGCCAAATGGTACTTTCATCAAAGCTTCTCCAAATCCTGATTTTCGACTCACAAGAATAGGCAGACCAGCTGACAAGGCTTCAAGACCCGTTAACCCGAAGCCTTCAGTTCTCGACGGCATAACCACAAGGTCTGCTTCGCAAAATACCTTTTTCAAATCTTCCCGGCAATCCAAAAACGGACGCACCCTCAGCTGGCTGGGAAGGATATCAAAATCGAGGAAACGTGTTTGTGTCTCCTCAAGTTTTCCCTTCGCAGCACCAACAAATAACAGAATACAATGACTCGACTTAGCCACAGCTCGAGCTGCAATGTCGAAACCTTTTAATTTAAAGTCCTCCGAATCTCCACGACCAAAACACAAGACTTTACAAACTTCTCGTTTGTCTAGACCTTGTTTCAATTCAGAGAATTCTGCCAGAATTCCAGGAGTAAATTTGAAGAAATATTGCTCTTCCTTACACGAGGCGAGATAAGAATGAAACGCTTTGTACAATTTGGGGCCAACTGGTACAACGAGGTCAGCTAGTTCGCAAAGTTCTACCTCTGTTTCATGCTTTTTCTGAGCATTCGAAATTGGATTAGTATATTCTTTATATATCCCTAGTTCCTCAGGGTCTGTATGGACAACATGAATCCATTTACATTTGTGGTACTTCCTTATGATTTGTGCCTGATGGCCAAGTTTAACGCCATGTCCAACCACAACGTCGATTTGCAAATCCTTTGGTGGAAAGCTGAGCCAGTCCATTTCATCGAAGCCGGGCCACTTTGCCGCCTTTATAAGTTCTATTTTGTGACTTTGAGCTGCTTTCTTGTCCTCGTCATTGCAACTTAGAACAAAGTAACTGACTTTAACTCTTGGGTTCTTTGCAATGTTCATTGCTAATTCCCTGTTTAACGTGGAGAGGCCTCCTTTGCTTGATCCCCATTCAGATGCCAGGAAAGTAACTCTAAGACTTCTTGATGATGGGTGCTGTCTGCTGTCATTGTTTTCCTCCTTAAAATAGAATAAAAGCTGTTTAAAATATTTCACAGGACCTCTTTAATGTTAGGGGCCTGATTTTAAAGGATGTCTTCTTTATAAGACTTAGAGGGCAAAGCAGTTGTTTAACAAGCAATTGTTTTAACATGCACTGCGTAAATACATTATTAGAAATCTCAATTTGCACTTTTCTGCTCGTAAATTGTAGTAAACTTTGGTGAATCAACCGCGCAGGTCCCGTAAACTCGAGAAATTCTTACATTTTTCGCTTCGTTTTTCGAACGGTTAATATTATTTTTAATAGTCGATATATCGTTCAACAGCAGATTTTAAATCTAACATTAAACGATTTCAAAATTTTCATCAAATAACTTCGCAATGTTCTGGCCGTTAATTTTAGCATGCTTAATATACTACGTGGTATGGTACATGTGAGAAATTCGTACATTTTAAGCTTCTCAACAGCAAATTTCAATTCTTTGAATAAAGCTTTGGTCTCAAAATAGTTTTTAATCGTTTTTTCCTCAGTCGTTTACTCATAGCTTTCGGACAGATCACGATTACCTTGTAAACCCGACGCAATAATGATAAAACTCTTTCTTCAAGCTCAAGTTGTGTCCGCTATGTTGTAAAATAATTGTTTCTCAAAAAGCTAGAGTTGCTGGAGGCTGCGCCGTACGCTTCTCTCGTGCTCTGTAAACTTCCCGCTTGCATTCTTAACTCGATTTACGCACATTAAAAAAGGAACAAGATTTTATAAACTCTTGGCAAGAACCAATTCTTTAATTAACTTTGAATGACTCTGAATGTCGCAGAACGTTTGAGAGGTCCTAGGAAAAACCAATCTTCTCACATGCGAACAAGAGAAACCGAAAACTTTTTGTTATACAGGTCAGTCTCTAAAGCATTATCTAGATCAGATTCAAATGACACGGGCCCCTGCAACAATTCCTTAAATCAGGTATCAAGCCATGAGTTTTCGAATAAGTCAGTTTGGCTTGGGCCGTCACTTCGTCACACTTGATCAATCATGAGTTCTGTTGAGACATAGCAACACGAAAAGGCGAACAAAGAGTTAACGAAGCCTGACGGCAGATTGTGGCAAAGCTTCACTGGTAAATATAGTATTATTAAGTGTTTAATTGTCGATATGTCCTAGATGTATTGTTCAGTAGCAGAATTTAATTCTAAAATTGAACAATTTCAGAACTTTTATCAAAACCTACGCAATGTTCTCGCCAAACTTCCTGCGTGCATCCATTAGACGATTTAAAAAAGCCCATTAAAAAAAAACAAAAGATTATAAATTCTTGGCAAGAAAGAAACAGTAATCTAACATGACCGCCTTTCTGGTTGTTTTGTCACACAGGTCGGTTTCTAAAGCATTATCTAGGTCAGATCCAAATGACACGGGCCCTGCAACCAACCTTAAACTATGTATCAAGCCATGAGTGTTCGAATTGGTGATTCGGCTTCGGTCGTCACCTCGTCACACTTGATTAAAAACGAGTTCTAGTCGGGTTCTGTTCAGGCACAGATCAACACGGAAAGGCAAACAAATAGTTAACGAAGTCCGGTTGCAGATTGTTGTAAAGCTTTCTTTCGCAACTTTCACTGGTAATTTCTCCATGGAATGGGTTAAAAAAAGGTTCCAACTAAAAAATTCGACACTGACAGATATTGATAGACAGCCTAAGCCCAAGTACAAGTCAGTGATGCATACATCCAAAACATTTTCAAATCATGACAAGGGGGCAAATCGGAAAAGATTTCGACACTTTCGTCAGACAAAGTCTACTTAAAAGAGGTAGAAAATATCTACTACCATTAAAATCGAATATTCCTACCTCCATTGTTTGCTGTGTACTCTTCCGCTTTCACAAATGCGTTTTCCCTAATCTGAATGCTTATCAATCTATAAACAGCCGACTGGGGGACTGGTAATGAGACAACCAAAGTAACAAGAAGAGGAGTGGGGCTGGATATAAATAGCGGCCCAAAGAAGAGAGGAGGTCAGAGGTTGCTAATTCAAGTCTAAGGCTTTTCCTTCGCCGTTGTATCAATACGTTTTCTGCGTGACCATTGAAGGTGGCGTTGTGTCCACTCCTAAGAGACGATGATCTAATTACATTGACGCCTACGTTGTCTCTTTGATTTTCTCCTAGACTGACATAGCAGAACAGTCCACGGCACAGCGAGGTGCAAGATTTTTGAAGAGTATGTTTCTGTCAAAACGGCAAGAATGGAATTGAAAATACCGGTGGGAGAAAAGATTCACACCGAATCTCAGCGTTTCCTTGTGGGCAAGTTAATTATAACCTTGTAATGATGATGATGCAAAATCTACGATTTTAGTTGAAGTATTTGAGACAAAGATTTTTCGGAGTCCACCCTCTTCCTTACCCCGCCTCTGCTTTAAGAGGTTTCCATCGGGTCGAAAGACTTGAAATTTGTATCAGGTCCAATGACATACATTTTGGCCGAAAACACGTCTATGAATCAAGGAAAACCTCTCTATGCTTTTTTGATTCCTCAACATTATCCAACGGTATAGACAGAAGGAAAGCAGCATTATACATTATTTGGCGGAGGAACGTTGTAGTTCTTGTCGTATTTGTTGATATATAATACGAAATGGATACGTACTTTTGCGCCACGCACGTTGATGGATTGAAATTGAGTCATCGTAAATAAAATTTATAAGATTTAATGCGCAAATAATAAGCAAAGATCACCAAACTCGCTCAGCAGTAACAGGTGCATAAGTGTTTCAGTGAAGGCTTTTCGAAGAGACGTAGCGGTTCTAATAACAACTTGGGTGGGAGAGAAAACTAAATGTTGTAAATTGATGAATCGTTCGTTTTCTTTTTCGAAAATTCATCGACATATTTCCTTTTTTTTCCGTTAGGAATCTTTACAGCCCTCCTCGCTCATCTGATTCGTGGGTCTGAGGCTCCAGTTTAGTAGCTTTTGATCTTGGCATTACAAGTTTATCGCATAATCATTCAATTGTCATTTGAGTGCCATTCATTTTGTTTTCCCCGTCGGCTCTGGAAGAGTGTTTGACATTCTTCCTTAACTTCACTTTGAAAGCATTACAGTCGAAAGTAAAGCTTACGGTCGTACACTCTCCCAATAACCACAGGTCTTTAGAGAAAACTGAACAAAAATAACACCACATGGTCAGTTTTTGACACGTTTTACTCTTACTTTTCCCTCATATCCGAAAATGCGATTGTAAATGAGAATGCATTTACTAGACATTTATATCAGCCCACAGTACAGGTAACAGAGGGACATGGAGGAGATATCAAAACGAAAATATGGCGTTATTTCAATATGTCAAAAAAGATTTAAAATAGGGCTGATTATTAAAATATAAAATAACTTAAAACACATTTCTCTGATTACGTAAAGTAATTATTTATTTGTTACGAATTCATATTCTTAAAACAGTTCAGGAGAATGATCATCGAACACGTTATGAAGACAAAAAACAAATGATCAAAAAATAACAGATGTGAGATTTTATTTGACGCGGTTAAATTTCAAGGAAAACTGTTTCAAATTAAATCATCTGTTGGTATCAAACATCTGTATGCATCAAGTTAGTTGCAAAAGAAATACAATAAAAATTACTTTCATTCTATCCACATAACGAGCAACATGTTGACGAAAATACAATAAAATATAGCCATAGAGTCTCATTTCCAACAACATGCACTGCCTATTGGTTCGACGTTGTCATTGGTGTTTTATGTGCAGGAAAATTGGGACCAGCCCATCCACTGAAATAAAATCTTTCTACATCAAAGTCCTATGTTTCAAAAGTTGTCAGCAGATCTTTCTCTCAATTTGTGAGATTCTATTAACATCATAATCCTTCTACTACATTTGTCTGATTTCAAAATATAAAGTTAAAACTAGTTCGTGTAGTGTGATCGTCCGGGTGAGTGTAGTTCTGAAAAGAACTGTTGTTGGTGACTGACGTTTCGACTATCTGTGCGATAGTCATCTTCAGAGTCAAGTGAGGAGTAGTTGTCAGTCGATGATGTTATAAAGTCTGGTCTGTTGAACGTGATTGGTCTGTTTAGCCGTGATGTGATTGGCTGGAAGACTCGTGTAGAGTTTGTTAACAGTCATCGGTCGGTTTCGATCCGTCTGTTGTTTGTCGGTCTGTTTGTCGGTTTGTTCACGTCGTTAATGAGTCGTTTGTAAGGTGCTGGTAATTGTTGACATCTGTTGAGAGGCGTCTGTTCTAAGTTAGTGAACCAGCTTTCCAGAGTCAGTCGTTGAAAATACTTTGTACTGTAGGTTAAGCATTTAGCAGAGTCCCAGTCGATTCTGTGATTAGTTTGTCGGTGATGTTCAGAAATGTGATTGTTTACATCGCCATTTCTAGTTGCTCGTTTGTGTTCAGTTAGTCGCGTGTTAAGGTTTCTACCAGTCTCACCAATGTAGGAGGCCTGGCAGTCGGAGCATTCGATCTTATAAATCGCTCCCTGTCTGTTGTTGAGTTCGTCTTTGTCTTTAACGTTGGTCAGCAAATGTCGTAAAGTAGTAATAGGCCTGTGAGCTACGCGAATGTTGTAAGGTTGTAGGATCCGCGCGATAGCCTCAGAAGTGCCTTTGATGTAGGGTATAGCAGCTGTAGTCGTGATAGATCTCTTCCCGTCCCTTAGACAAGACTGAGACTCAAGTACTATCTTACGGACTGAAACACTCAGTGACGCCTAAACGTATACCGACCGAGTCTATTGTATCTAGTGTTAAGGCGGCTCTTTCTCGTCAACGAGACTTATCAGAACCTGCCAAGGACAACATCAGAAGTAGAATTGCTTCCACGATACAATCAGCCTCTATAACTGACAGCAACTTAACCTTAAGACTGAATTTGCAGTAATTTTTGTAAGAAATTATGGTCCAACCTAGGCAAAATATCACCCGTTTGATAACACCCCACAAGATTAAATAGCAACACCAACAACTATCGTGATGAATTTTAAAGATGAAAGATTTGGCTGATTCTGATTGGTAAATCCACGGTCCTCTATCTGATGTTAGCCATAAGTCCATATAAATATATTTATAAGCGCTGTAAGTTTCACGTCACATCTTGGTAAAGTGAAGTCGTAAAAGTGTTTTATTAGCTTCACGATTGTTTTGCATCGCACGCCACCAGGATCTAGGGAGTAGCCTTTCTGCAAAATAAAAACTACCCAAATAGGTAAGGGTGTCAATGTGGATTGTAAATCCAAACTGCCATACGGTTAAGAATTTATATGGAAACAAGCGTAAAAAAACTAGAAAAAAGTAATGAACCACATACTTCATTCTGAAACACCCCGTAATGTCGTACTCGATCTTCTGTCCAAACGGACATAGCCTGCATGAACTTGAAGAAAAACTTAACAAGTAAATCAAAAAGAAAAACATTCCGTCGAGCTTGAAATACTGCTTCGTGAAGTGTGAAAAGCAATTTTCTGAAAAGGAGATGAAAGATTACATCTTTGAGTTTCTGGTTTGCACAAGATTTTAGAGACTGAACTGTTTTAGTGATGTATATTCCAATTACTCCCATAAACTCAATCTGTAGCACGTTCGACTTCGCTTCAACTGCGTGCTCGTTTGTAATTGTTACTTACACAGTTGTAGGTCATATTACCATATACGAAACATGGAAAGTTGAGGTCAACAATTTACGATTTTCAGACTCTGATGTACTTGAGTTTTGTATGAGTAAAAATCATTTTGTTAACTTGGGTTTACCCGCTCTCACTGTGCGTTCTGACTTGTACGCAGTATGTACACTCCGAGTTTACATTCCAAGAGACTACAAGATAATAAGTCAGAAATAAATATGTGCTAAAATACACATACAGTAACACCATATAAAACCTTGAAATCTCAACTCTCCACTCCTGAACAGAATCATGAACCTATTGCTGTTAAAATGTACTTAATGTAAGTTATTCGGGTAAGCCTCTATATTAGGTTTTGAGCAACGAATGGAAATTAAAACTGAAGGCGGTTTGAATAAAAATGATCATCATTATCAGATATGATAGAGTAGCGTTAGAAAAGGATCCGTTTGCGTTTGCAAAGTTCATTACTCTTAAGATTAATGTCTGATATGACAAGTGTTATCTCTAAATAAATAATCAGCTGACAGGGATTTCTTCCTCCCCAAAACGTGCTTAAGTCGCCTTGCCACGGTTTTTTTCTTCCTTTTTTTTCTGAAAGTAAAATTGATTTTAAGCGACATATCATGGAAATGCGGTCCCTTTCAACACAAAAACTTCCGTGCGAACTTCAATTAGTCCTCCTCAGAAGCTTTAAAAAATGGCGGTTATGTGGAGGTTTACGCTCAATAGATGTAAGGAAAAAGTTTGCACAATGCTAAGCACTTTTCGCACAACTTCGAGGTGGCAAACCAGTGCACAGAAAGCACTAAGAACTCGTTTACGAAAACAATGTCCAATATCCTCTGATGCACCACTTTGAATTCTGAAAGATTAAGGGGAGGCCGGCAAGTTTTTTTCATCTTTTTAGCTGTGGTGAGATTTCTACAGAATTCACGACCAAATTGCTCTTATTTTGCAAATCCTTCAACCGACGTGATACCCTTTCAGCACCTTTGGAATAATAATAACAATACTACTAATGGAAGATGCATATGGAAGTCGTTATGCGCATAGTGATTGTGTCATACGTATTTCCATTCAAAGTAAAAGACCATAGAAAATTTCATTAACAATTGATGAACTCGACTCTCTCGAAAGCATTCGAGCCGACGAATCCCCAATTTTTTTTTCGCACAGTAAAATTAACTCTTTCCGTGGAATGCCAGAACTGTGAAGAGTGTCTAGTCTGTGTTTAAATTAAATATGTAACTTTATAGAGTGAAAA